TAAACACACCATCCCTTCCACTGGATCACCACCAGCCAATGAGCCTGCCTGTGCGGAGAAATCCATCCTCTTGCCTCTGCTGCATCTGCTAAGTTGGCAAACAGTGTACCCAGAGCCTGCAGCTGAAAAGAGGGTCTATACCGTTGTTGCTGTTGTTTGTCACCAAGTTGTTTCCCGTTTATAGCAACCCTATGGATTAATGACCTCCAAAAGGTCCTATCATTAACAGTCCTGCTCACGTCTTGTATACTCAGAATCATGGCTCTTCACTGAGTCAATCCATCTCATATTCCTTCTCTCTCATCTCCTGCTGCCTTCCACTTTTTAATCATCATCATCAACATCATATTAGAACTGCATTACAGTGGGGTCTTGACTTGAGAACTTAATCCATATTGGAAGGCGGTTCTCAAGTCAAAAAGTTCTCAGGTCAAATCTGCATTTCCCATAGGAATGCATTGAGAACCATTTGATCCGTATCTGCTCTTTTCCGTCCATAGAAACTAATGGGAAGCTGCTATTCCGCCTTCGACCACTAGAGGGGGATATTTTGTTTCTTTTTTTCTTAGGTCAAGAAAGGTTCAGGGAAGGCAGGGAAAATACAGTCCAGGCAGTACCAGGCAGTCCGAAGACTGTCTCCCAATCCACGCTCTAAACGCTGGGAGGAGTGAGGAAGCAGACAGGCACCCTTTTCACTGGCCAACAGTTAACTGAAAGTTCACATTTTGCACTTTCCCTGCCTCCCACATGGTTTTTTTCAGTTCTTAACTCAAATCTAAGTATGTAAGTCAAGTCAATATTTTCCTATGAGAGTGGTTCTTAAGTCAAAATGTTCTTAACTCAAGCCGTTCCTAAGTCAAGACCCCACTGTACTACCTTTCTTCACTGTGTCTTGTCTTCTTATGATGTGTCTAAAGTATAAGAGCTTCCATTCCATCCTTTATGCTTCTAGAGAGAGTTTCAACTTAATTTGATCTAACATCCACTTGTTTGTCTTTCTGGCAGTCCAGGGTATTTGTAAAGTCCTCCTCCAACACCGTATTTCAAAAGAATAGATTTTTCCCCTGTCAAGCTTTCTTCACTTTCCAGCTTCCATATCATATACAGGAATCAGCAATACCACAGTGTTGATGATCTTGGACTTGGTCTAAAGTACAAATCTATACTGGCCATTTGAACTCTCTCCCCACCCCCACCGCCCAACAAGACCCAATTTGGCAAAGAGATTTAAGAGCCTTGGCTACCCGCCTCCCACCAAGGTAAAGCAATTATACTGGTTTAAGTAATGGAGAGAAAATTCTATGGCCCAACACAGAAGGGACCCCAAACCTCAAGGGAATGTATCAGCTGCTGACTTGATTCTGGTGTATTTTTTGGTCAGGCAGCTTTTGGATATTCTTTGTATTTGAAGCACAGCTTTGTTCCAAGATTAATACCGCTAGCAAGGGAGACGCTCAGAGATAAAAAGATGGGCTTTGCAGATGGGTGGGGGGAGAACTCTGATTGCACACAATAGCATGAATGCAGGACAGGAGGGGTATATATGGCACGTACGCCCACACACACACACACACACACACACACACACACACACACACACACACACACACACACACACAGAGAGAGAGAGAGAGAGAGAGAGAGAGAAAGATACCCTTGCAGAAGACAGAGGACTGTGGGTATTCCTACACCTCCAAAGACATGGCTCTAATGAGGTGAAAACAGCAGCTTCAACCAGCCACCCCCACAGACAGAGTAATTCCACCCACAGCTGTGAATCTATCATCTCACTTACTAGATGCTTGCAATTAATTCAGATACACAAGAGCCTAACATTCCTGAAGGGGAAGGGCTGGTGCCAATGACCAGATGTCAGGTCAAATTCACAAAGAATATGACAATTTAGAGTGATCCAAATCCTGAAAAAGATATAAATTACAGCTCTGTACTGTATGTTCCCTCTGCTGCTTAGTTTCCAAAGTGATCCACCGTCTCATCACACCTGATACTCTTGTGTAGCTTTGGTATTTTCTAGGCTTAAGTACCACGCCTGCTTTGCAATCATCCAGTCACTTTCTTAACAATCAGCAGTCCTTGCTTGATTCATAAGCATAATAAGCTCCTGAACCAAACCTTAATTTGAGAAGAGACTCCTTTTTTTGTTTTTGTTTTTTGGCACAGGCGCTAAGACAAAAGGTACAACAGAAGAGTGGATATGTGTGATTTTGGAGAACAACTCCCAAAGCTGCCTGGAGAAATTCCGGGAGGTGTCCAAAAACCACAAAATTGCATACCTCTTCTATACATAACTCTCTAATCTACATTAGTCTCTGGGAAACCGACAAGCAAGATTGAACTCAGGCTGACAAATCCTTTTTCCACCAAACCCCGAATTCCTTGGGGGTTGCAGGCTGAGAGCAACTGACTGAAACCACCACTTCTTTTTAGATCACAGGTGGGCCCGCCAGATGATGTTGGACTCAAACCATTAAATATGCTGATGGGACTAGTGGGAGTTGTAAGTTTACTAACAGGGTCACAAGTCCTTCTCTAAGGGCCAGGTCACATTTTAAAGCAAATATGTACATCCGGCAGTGAAGAAGGCCAATTCAATGCTAGGTATCATTTAAAAGGGGATTGAAAATAAAATGGCCAACATTGTAATGCCATTGTGCAAAATGGTGGTAAGGCCACACCTAGAGGGTGCGTACAGTTCTGGTCACCACACCTCAAAAAAGACCTTGTGGAACTGGAAAAGGTGCAGAAGAGGGTGACTAAAATGATGACTGGGCTGGGGCACCTCCCTTATGAGGAAAGGCAACAGCGTTTGGGGCCTTTTAGTCTAGAGAAAAGGCACCTGAGGGGGGACATGATTGAGACATACTCGTATACAATTATGCAGGGCATGGATAAAGCAGATAGAGGGAAAGTCTTTTCGCTCTCATACAATATCAGAACCAGGAGACATCCACTCAAATTGAGTGCTGGGAGTGAGAACAGACTAAAGAAAAGATTTCTTGACTCAGTGTATTGCTAGTCTGTGGAACCCCTTGCCACAGGATATGGTGATGACATCTGGCCTAGGTTCCTTTAAAAGGGGACTGGACAGATTCCTGGAGGAAAAGTCTATCACAGGTTATAAGCCATACTCTCCAGGCTTAAAAGGAAGGCACTTCAAAATGCCAGCTGCAGGGGAGTGATATCAAGGGATCAGTATCTAGTTATCTCATGTGCTCCCAGATGCAACTGGTGGGGCCACTATGAGATACAGGAAACTGGCCTGATCTAGCAGGCCTCTTCCTATGCTCTTATGTTCTTTGAGAGCATGAAAAGAAAGCCATATTATCTTCAGACTCATCATTACAAAACAAAAGCAAGCAAATTTACCAGATGCAAGTTTACATAAGCTCATAGTAGAATTGGCTGGATAGCTCAGTGGCCTAGGTACCTGGCTGTGGAGCCAGAGGTTGGGAGTACAATTCCCCAGTATGCCTCCTGTGAGTAGAGACAGCCTGTGTGGCTTTGGGCAAGCTGCAGAGACCCAGGCTGCCCCCAGAAGAAGGGAATGATAGATAAAGCACTTCTGAGTGTTGTCTGCCTGGAACACGCTGAAAAGGATAGCCATAAGTCAGAATTGGCCGGATGGCAAGTGATGATGATTCACGGTAGAATGAATAGTTTTTTTCCTCTCAAGATTGCACTGTTTATATGTATGGAATCTGCTTTACAAAGGCCCTAAGAATCCTAAAAGAGTAGGACAACACGGAAGAGTATAAGGTGCTGATTATCTCCACATTGGATGACCATCTTCACATTTTCCACGCACTCTTAACCAGTAATTAACTGGACATTGCACGTGGGAAGGAAAGCAACAGTCTTCTACCTAGTAGTACAGTAATTAAAGGTTTGTTTACTCAGAGGGTAGAGAAGTTACTTCTTTGGACTGTAACTCCCAGAATCCCCCAGCTGGCATGGGAGATAGGTGGCAACTCTGGTTCAAAAAGTAATATTTCCACAGCTTTCTTGTCAGATATTTTCACTGCTTTATGGGGAAAAAATGGTCCACATGCAGTAGATGTTACCAATATGGCCCATCTTGTATGACTGCAAGTTGCCTCATCAGATTCCTTATGCATACCACATCTTGGATAGTGCAACATCTTGTGCAGAACGCTTGTCAAGAAGTAATCTGACCTTGAGCTGCAATGGAACCTAACAATATCTTGCCCATCCTATTACCATTTGTGGTACAGTGGTGCCTCGCACAACGAGCACCTCGTAGAGCGATGAATTCGTTTTACGAGGACGCTTTTGCGATCGCTACTGCAATCGCACAACGATGGCCCCAATGGGTGAAAATCACAGAGCGAAGGTCAGTAAGCGGTTTGCTTACCGACCTTCGCTTTGCGACCTGCCGATCAGCTGTTCCGCGGCTTCAAAATGGCCGCCAGAACAGCCGAAAGGGCCGGGTGCAGCGTTTTCGCGCCCTTGGTAAGCAAGGGGAGGGCGCGAAAACGCTGCCGGAACAGCTGAAATGGCTGCGCGCAGCGTTTTCGCGCTCTCCCCTTGCTTACCAAGGGTGCGAAAACGCTGCGCCCGGCCCTTTCGGCTGTTCCGGCGGCCATTTTGAAGCCGCGGAACAGCTGATCGCAGCCATTTTCGTGCCCTCGTTCAGCCAGGGGAGGGCGCGAACATGGCTGCCGGACCCCAGAAGCATCGCTGAATGGTGAGTTTTCAGCCGATTTGGAACGCATTAAAGATGTTTAATGCATTCCAATGGGCTTTCCCGTCCCGCTCAGCGATGTTTCACACAGCGAGGGTTAATCCGGGACGGATTAACCTCGCTGTGCGAGGCACCACTGTATATGCATTGCTATAAAGATCTTTCATTTTCTATGTTGGGCAGTAAAAAAAATGCAATCTCAACCCTATGCCTTAATACTGAACCTTTGCCCATCCCATCCACCGCCACCCCCAGATAACATGAAGTGCTTATTTACCTTTGACCTATGAACTTCGCCATCATCGTCCTCACCCCCAACCCCTAGGATCTTCCGAGTCTTCAGACGGCTCACAAGGTCTGTCTGGCTGTGTTTCTTCATCAGAGGGGGAGGCTGCTTGGCTGCCATGGTGAGTCACAGGGTCGTTGCAGGCTTGGGAAGAAGCTGGAATGAGACAGGTTAGAGGTTAGATATATTAGCAAAATTCATTTCTTGAAAGGGTCCAGCAAAAGGAGGAAAAAGCCACTTCAGAAAGAATACACACACACACACACAAATTATTGGTTTAATGCAGCACAAAGCAGCACAATAAACCACCAGCAGTGGTTTTTCAAGCACAAAATGAATGATTATGTATTTATTTATTGACTTATCAAAAAAGGAAGCAACAATCCCTTCTCTTATTTTATTTTTAGCTGCAGAGTACAGTACTTTCGTTCCTCTGCAATTTAAGGATGAGCATATGGGAATTTTTGGCTCCATAGTACTACTAGGAAAGCTTCAGGGCTCCAGCATGACCTGGAAACTTTCAAGAGAAGGCAGCAGCAATAGCAAAGCTCAAGTGACTGCCACCATTCCATTTTTTCAAAGTGTGTCTGGGGCAATTCTTCTTGGAAAGTAAGGACTTCCTCTTCGTGTCCCCTAGAGCAAAAGGGCAGCTTACATCCTGCTATGGAGATGCTCACCATGACTTCCATTTTGAAGTAGGAGAAAAATTTTGATTACATTGAGTACCATCCTTGACTTGAAGATATCAGCAAGAAGGACTCAGTGCTGAGACCAGAATTTTACTGGGAGGCAGGATTGTGGGCAATAAGAATGGCGGAAGGAGCCTCCCTCCTTTACTGGTTTGTCTGCCATCTAACCAGTTGAGAAACAAGCACCCTAGTGGGAGAGGGGAGAGATAAGTGGTACAATTAGTGTTGCCTGTGCTTCTTTTTTCAACAAGATCTTGGCCTGGATCAGCTGAACATTTACATAGATAAGGACCTAATTCCAGTTATTAAACCTGATGAGAACAGGCCCATTCAATCAGTACTAAGTCAATACTAACATAAATTCCACTGATTTAATGGTTTTACTATAATCAGAACCAACATTTCTAGCCATCACCTCCTGTAAGGAACCCATGTCATCATACATATGTGTGCGCGCACCACACAGACAGAGAATATGAGAGAGAGAGACAATGGTTTTCCTGTAGTCAGAACCAACATTTCTAGCCATCGCCTCCTGTAAGGAACCCATCTCATCATATATATGTGTGTGCGCACACACAGACAGAGAATATGAGAGAGAGAGAACATCTTCATTGCCACCCTTGTGAGATATACTAACTTCTTCATTGCCACCCTTGTGAGATATACTAATCTGAGAAATAGATTGATCGGCTTATACACAGGTAAATGCAGCAATCCAAAAACTGTGGGACCAAATCTCAGCAGTCTTAGCCAACTTGGCAATGGATTGTGTGAACCACAGTCCAAGAACCTCTGGAGGGACAGTGGTATCCCACCTCTTGGTAAGTCCATGATCCCCCAAATAATTTCATGGCTAAGTGAGAATCTGAACTAGAGGTGCACAGAGTTTTTGTTTTGGATTACAACTCCCAGAATTCACCCAGAAGCATGACTATACCTCTTGATTACTGTAACCACTACATCATACTGTTGAGTGTGCTTTAGCCAGAAGAATGGCAGAAATTCTACCAGGATATTTTTAACAAAACTAATTGATTTAAATCACAATTTAAATTTTAAAAATGACTTCCATTTAAAAAAAATCCCATTTTTATTTACATCATGATTTAAATTGTAATTTAAATCAAATCTACCCTGAATTCTAGCATTCTAATCACTCCCTGTCCCTATAGACCAATATTATCAGCATCTACAGCTTCTTCAGGTCCCAAAGATAGCTTCAACTGCAGTGGAAATCCATCGAAATGCTGCAGTAAAAACCTCCTTACAGATGCTCCAGTAAAACTTTAAAATTTTGTTCTTTTATCTTTTTCATTACAGTGAGCAAGAGAGCTTCGCTATGAGCCTAGGTCCTTCTTTCTCTCCAGTTCCCAGAAATTGGAGGCTTATGTATCAAGAAGCCATTACACTAACATGTCTTTCTCCAGCTCTGTTAGGGTGCCACTAGAATGGACAGCTGAGTTGGAACAGACAACCGGGTGGGGGGGGGGGAAGACGCTCAGCAGAGAGGCTGAGCTCTCTTTGAAATCAGAGGCAGGGAAGGAACAATTGTTTATAGCTGGATAGATTGATTATCACCCCAATCCAGGAAGGTCCCTCCCAACCACACCAAATAGAGGCAGTATGTGAGGTTGCAAAAAAAAAAAAAAAATTTGCCTTCCAAATGAGGGCATCTGCAGTGATAAGGCGATCTAGGACAAAAGCTGGTAGTTTGTTAAAAAAAAAAAACACTACATAGTCTTTGTAGAATGAAACAATGTTAGAATTTTTCCTGCTTTAGAAAAGTGGGAAGCCCAGCAGTAGGGAAAAAAAGCATCTCAGAATCAGATGAAAAGATGTTGACCCTTGTGTCAAGTGATCACTGAACAATACTACAAATTCACCTGTGCTAAACGAGGAGGAAATCCTGAAGTACTTGTCAAATGTAGCTGCAGCTTTAAAGAGAGAGAGAAAAAAGGATTATTTAGTCATGCCAGAGTACCCATGTAGCCAAGACCTAAAGAAAATATTGAATGAATCAGGAAGAAAGAAGTATAAAAGCACAGCTAGAAGGGGTGCACATACAAAAAATCAGAGGTGGCAGGGAAAGAGCATAATGCATGTTGTGGGGTTAAGGAAAAGAGCTTTTTTCCACATGTAAGATTCATGAAAGAGAAATAATGGCAAATATTTGTATTATTTCTCTCTTCAAGACACTTCGTTAAAAGCAGAGATGGGCAACCTACTGTCGACCTGCAACTCCCATTAGTCCAGCCAATGGCAATTACAGCTTTATATACACTTTTGATGCGACCCTAAATGGATGTGGATGGTGCTTTCAGCTCCAGTAACCAATTGCAGGGGTGAGGAATGCGACTGGTCTCTGACTCTTCCCATGACAAGAGGGCACCAAAATTCAAATCAGACCTCTCATCTCATTTCAGACAACATGGCTGTGCACCTTATTTTTTCCCTTTACATTATTTTGCATTGATTTTCTTGGAAGAACCCAGTTAATTGTGGCTCCATTCACCAACAGAGGGTGAAAATATCTTTTTGGAAAGGCAGAAATGAGAACAAGTTAGGGATGAATTTCAACTCTCTGAGCCACTGATCAATGTCCCAAAATAACACAAACACACCATAAGCCAACTATTGTAGGGTAAACACTCAGGCCAACTATCTGGAGGTTGAGTCATGGCAAGTGGACTTCTTTCTTATTAGGATGACATGTTTTGCTACTCATCCAAGTAGCTTCTTCAGTCTGAGTTGGTAGGAGACCCCTGATACATATATCCTCTTCCACGTTGGTTTCACCTTCCCCTGGTCTGAATAGGCTTATTAGATGTACAAAAGACTGGACACCAAAACATAACAGGAGCAATATAGTATGTGTGGTCCAATGCAAAGAGGAGTGTTCAGAGCTCTACATTGGAAAAACCAAACAGCCACTAAACAGGAGAATGGTCCAGCACAGGAGAGGAAACGGCTCAGACTGAAGAAGTTACTTGGATGAGTAGTGAAACATTTCAACCTAATAAGAAAGAAGTTCACTTGCCACGACTCAACTTCCAGATAACCTCACCTGGATGATGAGAATCTTCACAGATAGTCAGTCCAGCTCCTGCATTAAGTGTATTCAAAGCACAGATTGAGCCCTGGTTCCCAGCAATTGTGACAGACATGGCCAAAAATCGGGGTAAAGAGCACTAAAGTCCCAAATATTTGGACAGCGCCAAGTTGCTGGGCCCAGTGCTAAAGGAAAAGCAAAGTTTCCATGTTCTCTAAAACAACTCTGTGCTTTACTGCCTTTTAGGTTTCCTAACTGAGTTTTTATTTTTGCATGGCTGAACACAAAGCTGACTTCCCTCAGGCTTTTTGAAAATTAGATGCAGCACAGAAAACGGAGACGTCAAGACCTAGAAAGTGATTTAGCCAATAAATTGGCGGGAAAATAGGAGCCACTGTGTTCCTTTTCACCCCAAAGGTAGTTGAGAGAAGCTTAGAAAATGTTTGTCATTCCACTGAGCAGCAATTCTGCTAATACTAGGTCTACCAATGGTCCCTTTTACAATAGTTTTATGTGTTTTTACAGAATACAAGTTGTGGGGGGGAGGGGGAGGGATCATTTAAGTACCTCGTTACAGGAACCCTCCACAGAGTATCAAAACAACTAGGGAAAATGTTCTCATGTTCTAAAGCTACATTCACTATTTTTTCATATGACACATGGTATCTTTACTAATAAATTTGCTTAAAAATAAAAAGTAAAATGCTCCAAAATTGCAATTAGCTACATTGGTTCATATGAGGAGGGGGAAGTCAGCCATAATCAGCTTCATGACCTTAAACCAAAATGTATGCAGGGTAGGGTGGATGGGACTTTGACTCCTGGCATAAAATTTATTTGCTGCAAGGGTGAGAAGCTGCCTCTTGGTGTTTGCAGCTTAAAAAACAGGACATCAATGACCCAATTAAGACCCATTAGCTGTACAAAATATCTGCTTCTATTGAAGAGAAAAACTGTTACAATTGTTAAAGCTGCTGCAGTTTTGAGTTCTTTCTGAGGGTGGGGATGAGCTAGGAGAACTGTCATAATTAGACATGGGAACGGATATAAAAATGAACTGGGATATTCAATGAATGATTGATCATATATTCATTGCTTCATATTCTTGTACTCCAGAGACCCCGATGAATACGAGAGATTTTCCCTTACGTCAGCTTGCTAAAGCCTGCCAGAAGGGAAATCACACTTCCGGGGCTGGGGGACAGCTTCATTTGGGGCAAAGGAAGAGGGGGAAAGGGATCAAAGTGATCCCCCACCTCCACTGCCTTTGCAAAGGCAGTGGGGCTGGGGGATGGCTTCGGTCAGGCTTTCTATGCCCCAGCGGTGGCATAGGAGGACGTGGAAAGGGATCAAAGTTATCCCCTAGTTTCCCTGCCCTTGCAAAGGCAGTGGGGCTCGTGGACAGCTTCAGTTGG